GAGAAATGGAGCAGGCTGGAAAAATCCGAGGATGATGAAGAAAGGGGGAATGATGTACAGGGAAAGAAGAAAGTGTATAGAAAGAAGACTAGACGGAGCAACAATGGGAAAAAATGTGGTGCAACTTCTTTTGGTCCCTCAATATATCATAGGATTAATAAATGCAACACCTCGAGGGGAGGTGATGCACTCAAATCAAGCAATATAAAATATTGAAGATGACAAATGCATTGGACGAAACGTCATGGGTAGACAGGGAATTCATCCTTTCGATGTTCAGCATGGGATACGTTGGCTGCCGCACAATACTTTTGTTTTCAACCTAAATCACCCTCAGGACCGCCACTGCCCACGCTTGAGCCTTAAGAGCAGTAAGCGCTCCTCCTCAAGCGCTTTGTCAACTCTCGCTCCTCGTTTGCTCTCCTGCTTTCATCATTCTCATCCCGTGTGCGAGCCAGTAGTCCTGCCGATAAGTTACTGTCAAAGCCACAGAATAGCATTGCGCACGGTGTATATTCTGATTCGCACATTGCACTGCATTCATCCACTCAACATTGAATCTCTGAGTCAACTCCAAGGCCTTTGCGTATGCCTCAGCAAGGCTTATGGTCTTATCATCCGCCGCCGAATCAACATCAGCTGTCACAATTGAGCCTTCACTTTTCGTGGTATTCCTACCGCCCACGCCTTCAATCCCACCCTGGCGGTGCGGGAGCGCGTGGTCCGAGCCCCCCGTCTCCCTTGCCCACAGCTTCCCGCCCTCACCACCGCCATGTCCTCCTCCTCCGCCGTAACCCTGTGCTTTCTCGTCCTCCTGAGCCACCCTATCCACAACCCGTCGTAATTCGTGCGCAAGCTCACCTATCCCTTCCCCCGTGCGTGCACTGCCCGAAAGAACATTCGGGACCCGCCCCCGCTGGCCCATCGTCGATTCCCCCCATGCCTGTGGGCGGTCAGCTGTTGCATCGTCTCCGCTCATGTCGGCCATCACAGCCGCCTTGGCCTCGCTGACCCACTCCGCGTTCAAGTCGGCTTTGTTTAGCCACACTAACGATGGGCGGCGCGACAAGCCAGGGCAGTACAGCTCCAGCTCTTTCTTTAACTTCCGAAACACAGTCACCGGTGCCTCCTCCACGACACTGCCGTCGTCCACGCCCGCCCCACCCTCTCTCCCCACCCCGTCGAGCACGTAGACCAGTACCTTGGTCCGTTCGATGTGCCTGAGAAACTCGTGACCCAAGCCCTTGTTGGCGTGAGCCCCTTCGATAAGACCGGGCAAGTCCGCGACCGTCACGCTGGCCGCATCCGTGTACTCGACTCGGCCCACAGTGGGGTGGAGGGTGGTAAAAGGGTAAGCGGCTGCCGCCGGCCGGGCCCGGGAGAGCCCACCCAAGAGGGTGGACTTTCCTGCATTTGGGTAGCCGACCAGGCCCACATCCGCGATCGTTTTAAGCTCCAACTCATAGAACCGCTCCTCACCCTGATGGCCAGGGGACCGAAAATTGCCGGAGGCAGAGGCGGAGTTACGGGCTCGCCCCGCCTGCACGGAGTTGCCCAGTCCCGGGCGTCCCCCTGTGGCAGCCCGGTAGTAGCTTAAAGGCTGATCTAGGTCGCAGACTTGGACCCGCTCATATCCCCCGCCCCTGCCGCTCCGCAAGACCTCCTTGACCACCGTGCCGCAAGGAACGCGAACGACCGCGTGCGCACCGCGGGCCCCGTGTTTCTTGTTCGAGTCCCCAGAGCCCCCTGCCTTGCCATGGAAATGGTGCCGGTCCATCCCCAGGCTCTGCACGCGCGGATCCGCGACAAAAATCACGTCCCCACCCTGGCCTCCGTGGCCCCCCGAGGGACGTTTGACCGCCCCTCCTCTGGCGTTTGCCATCTTCTCGAAACTAATGCATCCCTTTCCGCCCTTACCTCCGGTCACGGCCACGCCTATCCGGTCCACAAATTTTGGCGGGGCCTTGCGCATGTGTCTGCCTTTTCGCAAAGGAGGGGGATGCTTGATAGAAGGTTCTCCCTCGCCAACGTCCTCGAAAAAGGCACTCTGAAAATCGTTTTCCTCTGATCGGTCCATGCCGGTGCGCCGCAAAAACTCGAACCAATCATCTTCCGTCATGGCACCTGCTTGACGAGCCTTTTGCAGCAGATTGTGTGCTGATTTTATCTTCGATTTAAGCCCTTCTCTTTTTGTGGGCATCACTTGCAGGTTTCCGTCCGCATCCTCTTCAAGCCTATACTCCTCCACTATTTTAGCGTCCTCCGAGACTTGAGAAGCAGAGGCATCCGACGCGACCCTCATGCCATCTTCTGCTTCCAACGCATCATACTCTTCCAAAAACGAGCTCCAGTCCTCGGTGTCTTCTTCTTCATAAACGAGCATGTCTTGGCCTGCTGGCTTTTTGTTCCCTGAGGGCGCTAGCTTTTCCAGCGGTCGCGTCTTGCGGCGACCGGACTTACCAGAGTTATCCTTTACTGTGGCATATTGTCTTGTCATCCGTTCCATATCTCCTGTCAACCTTCCACAACCGAAAATGTTCGATTTCCCGGCTGGTACACAGGACGCGATGGCAGACCTCCTGTCATACCGTGCTTCAACTCCCTTGAAAGATAACGCAATGCTGGAAAGACAACGCCGACCGGGGCGCGGCATAGAGAGAATCCAAAGTACCTTTATTACCATTTTGTCATCTACCTATGTGTTTGGCGTGGGAAAAAAGGAGGTTAGAAGGAAAATAATATCCGCAAGCAGCGGTCTCCACATCGCCCGATACCCCCCCCTACTATCACCAAGACTTCACCTCGACCTTTTCCATTCATCTGCATCCAAACCTTTACAGGATAGTGCGTCATGTGGCGACAGATACTCTGGATGATGATAGGAGTATCGACGGTAGCCAACAACGGAGTATGCTCGGCTTTCGGACTACAGACCACCTTCCTCGTCCCGGCTCCGGCTTCTCGCGCGTCCTCAACCCCCCAGCATGCCACCCGCTCTCCCACCGAAGAGGAGGCAAGATCGGACCCTTTGGAGTGTTGGAACTTGAATGTGGTGCCCGATAAGAAATTGTTGGCGGCAGCTCGGGCGGAGGCATTGAAGAAAGACGCTGACTGGTATCAGGCAGTGATCGGCGGGAATGAAGATCGTGAGAAGGATCATTCATTGAGGCCCGTCAGACCGGCTACTGACGAGATCGTTGTGGAAGAATCGACTGGCAATGATACGCTTGAGGTTCCACAGGCTCTGAAGCCGTTGGTAGATCTGGGGTATTCCCAAGAAGAAGCGACGGAGCTGCCAGAGGACATCGCGAGCATTATCGTAGAGAGCGGCATTCGGCGGCCCGAGGGTAAATTGCCCAAGGAATGGCTGACTTCGGACACGGATATTGAGCCACACAAAGACGCTGCCGATGGAGAGGAGCACGACACGTGGGCGGAAGAGGCATTGGAAGAAGAGGAAACTCAGAGGCGGGAGAGGGATGACGAAGAAAGCTCAGGCTGGGCGGGAGCCCCTGGAAAGCGTCCGGGCAAAGCAACGAAGGAAGTGCGGTCTGTGAGGAGCGCTGAATCGAGGGACCTGCCCACAAGTGCATCCTTCATTGCGGGCGGGGGCGTTCAGGGACGGCGGAGGGAGGGGCAATACAAGAAGAGGACACGGGAGAGCGCAGGGGGTTCGGAGTCAGTGGCCGGGAGGGAGAATGTGGGTCATGAGTATCGCGTGGGATTTGGGAGAAGGAGCCAGCGGGAGGAGCGCGATGACGACAGGGAGTTTGAGGACTTCGACCCCACCTTCGCCGAGCAAGAACCAGGCCTGCTGCCCCTCTTGCTGGACCTTGTGGCGGAGCGGGTGCGGGGGAGCCGCCTGCTCCGGCCCCTTTTGAGGGAGTCCAAGTTCAAGTACCTGCTCAGCCAGGAGGCGGACCTGAGGCTGATGGTCACGGGGCCCTGGGCCGCAGAGCTTCTACAGGACGAGATCCGGTGGCGCCTGGGGCTCTTCCGGGATTATCTTAAGGTGGAGGAGAAGGGGGGGCGGGGGGCGGGGAGCCGAGGGGGGAGGACGGGAAGGGGATGGGAGGAAGAGGAGGAGGAGGAAAAAGAGGAGGACTGGCTTTCGGAGGATGAGGATGAGGACTATGCATATGATCGCGCTCGCCAAACCTGGAGACGCACAGGCAGGGGAGCATCGAGGGGGGGGGCGCGCGGATCCGGCGACGACTCTCTTCCCTCTTTACGATACCCGGAGGAGACGCGGCCAGGGGGATGGAGATGGTCAGGGGAGGACAATGAGGACGGGGTGTTGGAGGCGAATTGGCGCGCGCTGGATGCGGAGGAAGAGAGGGAGGAGAGGGCGGAGGGCGTAAACCGTTACACCGGCTCCTCCGTGTCCCCTCCCCCTTACCCCCCTCCTCCTCCCCGTCACTAAATCGGCAACGCCGGCGGCAACGGCGGTCGGAGGTTCGTGCGGGCGTGGGGGTGGATCGCAGATTTATGGGCCAGCAGGAGGAGGAAGCCACGAACGATCGTTCAGGCGCGTGGGTTTGGCAGAACCCTGGGAGCGCGGAGGGCCCGGGGGAGGGGGGAAGGAGAGACGGAGGACGGGGCCGAAGGGAGGTGGAGGCGGTGGAGGGCGTGGACTGGGACGGCTTTCGGTGGCCGTGGGAGATGCCAGACAACGACGACGTCGAGTGAGAGACGGTGCAGGCGCGGGAGGGACATAAAAGTAATGAATAAATTGTATGCTACGTGCGAGAACCTCGCAGGATGGCCCCTGTCGCTCGTGCGTTCGAGGACTCATGCTCTCACAAATCCTCGATCGAGGCAAAACTCTTTTCTTTCGTTTATAGCTTGTCATGTCGATTGAGCTGGCACGCTCATCTGGTGCCGCCTCGTTCGTCTTTCACGCCCACAGACCGTCCTCCCTCGCCCGGTGCGAGGCAACCCGCCAACTCTCCCGCCACCTCCCTCCTTGATCCTTGCCCCAACGCCCCCTTCGCTTCTGCTTACATGGCCGTGGCCACTACGCCCTTCCGGATATAGAGCGGATGGGGCTCCGGGTTCAGCGCCGCCCCGTTCACCGTCACCCGCACCTTGATCCGCTCCCCCTCCTTCAACTCCGCCGAGGCTGCGCCCCCGAGTCCCCCCATCGCGCCTGGATATGACTGTTGCTGCTGACGAAGGAGCTGCTGTTGTTGCTGCGTGTAGAGCGAGGAGAGGGCCGCCGGCTGGCCCGTCCCGGGCCCCGTGTCCCGGCCGGCCGCAGCAGCGGCAGCCGCTGCCATCTGTTGCTGCTGGAGGACGTGCGCAGCGGCTTGCTGCTGGTAGTAGGCGGCATGCTCCGGATAGGCCTTGGCCATGTCCTCGTAGTACTTGGCGATGGCCTCGGGCGTCCACTGTTGCTGCCGGGGCCCCCGTCGCGCCCGCCCCTCGCTGCTGCGCCACCTGTCGCTGGTACTGCTCGTACGCCGCTGCCGAGGCCGCGACCCCCTGGCCTTGCTTGACCGATTTCCTTTTGTTGCCGCCGGATGCACCCCCCGCCATCCCCAACCCCCCGCTCCCATGCCCCTCCTCCCTCTCCGAGTCCGACCCGCCTGCCGCCTCCCCCCCCGAGCCCTCGTACTCGCTCTCCTCTCCCTCTCCCTCTCCGCCCCCCGCAGCCGACTTCCGTCTCTTGCGTGCCTTCTCCGCCTTGAGCTTCTTGGCGGTCTCCGCGACCGACTTGATGTGTTGCTCCTGCACGCTGCTCGGCTGCATCCCCTCTGGCAACGCTCCCAACTGCCCTTTAAAAGGCCCCGTGATCTGCCCCGTGGTCCGATACTCGCTGATAGCCTGCTGCTGAGCCTCCACCGCGTCCATCTCCTGCCGAAAGTACCCAAGGCACTTGTTGTGGCCCCCCGCCAGGGTCAGCCAGGCGCTCCAGACACTCCCCCGCTCATCATAGTACACGCCCGAATACCGAGAGCGGGTCGTGGCGGCCGCTGCGGTCGACGCTGTCGCGGCGGCGGCCGAAGGCTGCATGGCGGTGGTGGCCGCTTGGTAGAAGGAGGAGGCAGAGGCCGCCCGCCCACCGCTCCCCTGTCGCTGATGGGCCCCCTGTCCAGGCGCCGAGGCGGCGACCAAGGAGGAGTTGGCAGCCGCGCGCGGTTCCTTAAGGATCTTGTTCTCCAACACCACCGTGCGGTAGGTCGCTTTCTGTGGCTGGAACCGTCTGCTGCGTTCGTACTTGCTCTTGTCCATCCAGGTCGCCATCTTGGTCAGATGCGCCTGCAGTCGACCTTTAAATTTGTTCACTCGATCCAAGAGGTCTTGACGAGGGATGGGACCCGTTTTTTCCAACGCTTTTTCGCACTCCAGTATCTTGACCATGAGGCGTTCGTTTTTGGCGACCAGTTTTTTCACTCCCTCTGCGTCCAAACCCCCCACCGAGGCCTGCCCCGCCCCGCCCGTGTATCCTTCATGGTATGAAGAGGATGCTGCACCGGAATGTGAGCTGGCGCCATGCGGATATCCACCCGCAGAAGCCCCGTATGTCGCGCCAGAGGCGCCAGCCACGGCGGCCTGACCTTGCCCGTACGCCCCGCCGGGATACACGCCGTATTGCTGATAGTAGTCTTGGTAGTACTTCTGGTACGCATCCGCGGCTGCCGCGGCCGAGGCAACGCCACCACGGGATTTCCGATTACCGCTGGTAGCCGCCGATTGCGGATAGCCGTAGCCTCCTTGCTGGTACTGTTGGTGTTGCTGCTGTTGAGCATAATACTGGTTATAATAAGCCTGATATTGCTCCGGAGTCATGTTCCTATAGTAAGCCTCCGCCGCTCGCTGCTGCTCTAACTGCTGCTGGTGAGAGGACATTTTCAGAGAGATGTTTCACGACCGGGCGGGTAGATCAAATTGTCAGGCACGATGATCCGCGAAGCGACAAGAAGGACGAAACGAGCGAGACAACACTTTCGACGAGGGCTTGGCCGTTCCTAACGGGGCAAACCTGTGGATAGGGGCAAGAGAAAGAGGGTCTGTGAATAAATCAACCATGCGACGCTAGAACTGGTAAATTTTGACGACAAATAGTTGCACGGTTGCCGGGACCTCTGCCCGCGTGTGGTACGTGCATCAAGGTCGTAGCGTGATAGGCCTGGCTGGCCTCTTCGCTTTTTCGCCCTTGGCGCCAGTTTTCGTCACGCATCGCCGCGCACCCCAACTCGGGCGGGCTTGGCCCATGGCTTTTCAGGGGCCGGGCGGGATCGAACGGGCTTCACCTGGCGTGTAATTAACGTCCTGCTTACAATCTTGAATACATTCAGGACTGCTTCGTCGGCCGCTTTTCCAAGCTTGATCGCCGCTGGCAGCAGCCGGGACGGAGGAGGAGGATGGCAAGAAGACAGCGATACACGTTGTCACAAAAGATGGGATGCACCCCTGCGGCCCCTCTAGAAAGAATCATGGCCTCTCTGGTTATACTTTGTGCGGTAGTAAGCACTGGTTTTTCCTTCTCGATCACTCTATCCAAGCGCAGTACTCCTGCAAGGAAGCGGTATGATTCTTCAACTTGCTTGCCTTTGCAGCGGCCCTGCGCCGTTAAGACGATAGCCAGGCTGAGCCCTGTCCACAAAGAACTCGGCTTGAGATCTCACAGTACGGGGGGCGTTCGTGCCGACATCTTTTTGAGAAACACCACTGCCGTCTCCTCGTCCGTCTCTACATTAGAGAGACCCCAGCCGGAACCTCCCCTACACGCGACCTCCACCATCCCGGAAAACGTTGAAGAGAAAAATATGCTAGCCCGCATGCGGCGAATGGAAGGAACGATGCAAAGTCTTGAGCGAGAAGTAAAGCGATTGGAAAGTGCGATCGCAGTCAAAGGCAGAGGTAGAAGTCGCGCCAAGATGATCGTCATCAATTATGACGTCGGCCCAGATGCCCAGATCGACTCCGTAGACATTGCGGTCGGAGCCGCCGGAGCCTTCGGGCTACTGGGCCTGCTCATCGGCCGCTCTTTGGCGTCCAACTTATGGTTCGTAGGATTCTTGACCGGTGCTCTGGGCGCGGGCTTCCTGGCCCGGGAGGAGGAGGGCGGGGCAGTGAGCGACGTGATCCGGGCGGTGGGCTGGCAGGTGGCCATCAAGACCCGGCAGCTCGTCTTTATGTACAAAACGGGCCGACTCAGCTACGTGTACGCAAAGAAGTGGGAGGCTTTCGACCGGAAGTACGCAGTCACGAAGAAGATGGAGGCCCTGCAGACGCTCTCCCTCAAAAAGTGGCGCGAGGCGCAGGAAGCGGAAAGGAAGTACGAGGTCCGGTACCGGCTCACGGCCTTTCTGAAGGCGGGGTACAACGGCGTGGTGGACACGACGGCCGCGCTCTTCAATGCCAAAGACAGGAAGGAGCTCGTGCGGAAACTCCCGGTGAGGGATAAAGGGAGGAGACGGCTCGACGTCATGCCCGGAGCTCCGGGCACTTACTCTCTTTCGCGCCCCACTGCCCGGCCTACCTTTCCTCCTGCTCATCCTCGATCTTTCCATTTCCTCCCACCGAGGCAGAAACCCTTCAGGCTCCTCTTCATGTCCAAGGCGCAACGGCGGGCGGAGGAGAGGCGCCGCGTCACGGTGCGGCGCTTTGTGGGGCTGCGAGAGGGCCGGCCCATAGTGGAGGTGCAGGACGACGCGTGAGGGCTGCCGGGTCGCAAAGGGCCACGAGCAGCTGTGTGAAAAGTACGAGAGTATCTACGAAGAAAACAAGAGAGCCCAGCGGCAGGGTCGGTCCTCGCGCTTTTCTTTTTCAATCGGTCCGGCGCCCCCTTCAGGAGAATGGCCGTTCTCGCCGCTTACAACTCTCGAGACCCCCCGTCCCACACCGCCCCGTGAACGCTAGTGGTATGGCTTTCGGACTGCGAGTCTAGCGAAGACATTCAAGGAAGGCATACATCAGGCAGCCGCCAGGTCTTTAAAAAAACGGTTGCGTAATTCCCCCTTTACCTGTCTCCCGTGCTCTTCTTAAGCCTCGCAGAGCCAGAATAGCCCCAAAATCTAAACACGCCTATCAAAACATTGTAACGATTTTAACACGCCTATCAAAACATTGAAACGATCTTTCCGTCCCCTCAAAATTGGCTACCCCCCAAAATGTCCATCGCATTCTGCCACGCTGCCCCAACCCGAAACCTCCCTATACCCGTCCTGGCGCTTCAACACTGCGCTCGGATTCGATGACTTTCTAGGATAGGAAAAAAAATACCGTCGCTTCCCGACTTCAACCTGGACTCCCCCTTACAGGCAAAAGAAGGGCAGGATAAAGACCGGCGGGAGCAGGAACAGGTATAGGCACAGGGAAGTCCCACACGTCAAAGGCGCACAGAGTGTCGCAAAAAAGAGAATGGTAAGGAGGGTGAAGGTGACAATAAAACAGCCACCGCGCTGACGAATTCCCACTTCTACTGTGGGCACTTGGTACGTCGCCATCGCCTTCTTGGAAAGGTGGTGCTGTGTGCCAAGGTCATACGAGGCCAACGCCTCATGGTCTTGCAAAATCTTGCACCGATGCAGAAGGTACTGCTCCTCAACTGCCACGCCTATCGCGGTCGCAACCTGGGCTTTGAGATCCTGGACGCGCATGTCGCCCTGCACGTTGAGAGGGTAGCACTGTCCCCCAGGCCCACGCACTATCAAGTTGTTCGTTAAGGGTGAGCCTCCTCCTGGGGTCTCCCCCCATGCCTTATCTTCCTCTCCGATCAATAAAGCATGGTCGTACAAAGGCATCTTTGTGACGCGGCGTCTGAATTCTAATTTCAATTATGTGGGTACAAGTAGCGTGGGGATGGAATGGTCAGAACGTCCGTAGGATGGAAGTGAAGAAAATGGCGAGCATCTGAAGGGGGCGGGCGATAGGCACGAAGGGGAAGCGACGCTCTCTTGAGTCTTGAATCTCCCTCTTACGATTAGCCCTTCTGTGCTGACCCGCTTTCGAAGGCCACTGTCACACGGGTCGATGGACGAGAAAGTGTGGCTACCTATGTCTTCGAGGGTCGTCTGCTCCCAACGGGACGAACTACGCTTAGATCGAGCATATCACACGCCCGGGCCCCTCACTTGCGATTCCTCCACTCTCTCGATCTGCCCGACAGGCCTCAAAGGGTAATGAGCCGGAAAGGTATGGCTCTCTTCCCCGCAAAAGCGTCATGGCAGTTCACTCTGGTGATGGTGTTGTCCAGCATTGCATCACTGACCGTACAAGCCTTCACGGCTCCATGCCGCGCCTCACAGTTGCTGGGGAGGAGGTCGGTGCAGCTACCGTCTCCTCCTACTTTCTCAGTAGGTTCAATACGAATGTCAGCTGGCAGTCCGCCCAGGGATGACAAGTACTTGCTTGACGGTGAGACAGAAGTTTTTTGTAACCGGGAAATCAATATGCAGCAGATCCGGGCCATTGGGTTCGACATGGACTATACTCTCGCTCAGTACAACCTGGCCTTCGAGCTGCTCGCCTACGACGGGGCCAAGCAGAAGCTTGTCGACACCTTTCGATACCCTGAAGCCGTGGCTAGTTTCGAGTATGATTCTACGTACTTTCGGCGGGGACTCGTGATCGACAAAGAGAGAGGGAACGTGATCAAGATGGACAGGCATAAGTACGTCCGACAAGCCTACCACGGCTTCTCCCCCCTCCCGTCCGCCGTCCGAAAAAGCCTGTACATGGCCAGCTCTGAGAATATTCCGCTATATACCGAGAGCACGTTTGTGAACATCGACACTCTCTTCCTCCTCGTGGACGCCTACCTCTTCGCCCAGCTGGTCGAGTACAAGGACCGGCACCCGAGCGAGATCAAGCACTCCTACGCCGCCATCTACTCGCACATCCGCCAATGCGTGGACCTGTGTCACCGCGACGGGGTCATCAAGGACCGAGTGGCGGAGGACCCGGGGGCCTACATCGTCCCTGATCCGGGCATGGTGACCATGCTCGAGCAATACAAGGAGAGCGGGCGGAAGACCTTCCTGGTCACCAACAGCCTGTGGGAATACACGGATGTGGTGCGTGTAGGGGGGATAGGGAGGGTGTTTGACCGCCTTGTGCATGCTTGCCGGCCGGTGCCATTTCTCAGTCCTACTGTGCTCCCCCCTTCAGGTGATGAATTTCTTGGTCGGGAACAAGGGCCCGCGCAACCAAGACTGGCTGGACCTGTTCGAGGTCGTGATCGTGGGAAGCCGGAAGCCGGCCTTTCTGGAGGATCGGTCCGCCTACATGATGCGGGTCGCCCCCGCGGACGGTTCCTTGCGCAATGTGGACGGCGTGGAGGGGCCCGTGGACGCCTTCTTGGCGCAGGGCAAGGTCTTCCAGGGCGGGAACTGGAAGCATTTGCTGGAGATGCTCAAGCTCACCTCGGGGGACAACGTCCTCTACGTGGGCGACCACATGTACAGCGACATCCTCAGAAGCAAGAGAAGTCTGGGCTGGCGGACCTGTCTGGTGATCCCGGAGCTGGCGGGGGAGGTGGCGGCCTTGCAGCAGTACGCGGGCCTGGACGCAGGCTTGCAAGAACTGAGAAGGTGAGTGGAGTAGGGGGGGTGCCGGGCGGCGCCAGAGGCACGCGGCATGTCTCGGTGGCACTGCAATTGAGGACGCTTGGCGGGGGGCACTGACCATGCCTCCCTACCACGCTTTCCCTGCCCTTCCTCTCCCTTCCAGACGACGGCTGGTCATGGACGAGGAGATGGACTCTCTGTACAAGTCAATTCAGGTGTTGCGCCGGGAGGAAAAGCAGGGCGCTCAGGGCGGGGCGAGCACAGAGCCTTCTCCCGAGCTAAAGAAACTGACGCGGCAACTGCAAGAGCTGGAGGAGGCGGGCGAGCGACTGGACGACACTATCAAGGCGGGCTGCTCCGACTACCACCACAAGTTCCACCGGGTGTGGGGCAAGCTTTTTGAGTCCGGATTCCAGGAAAGTCGCTTTGCGAAGCAGGTTTCCACCTACGCCTGCGTGTACACAAAGAAAGCCTCGAACCTGGGCATGGTCTCGCCGGAGCGCTGGTTCCGGACGGTTCGAGATAGCATGCCTCACGACGTTTACTTGGCCCTAGGCTTGGGGGGGGCAAGTCAAACCGAGATGGTGGGTGCGGACGCGGGGGATCCTCGTTGAGGGGGAGACGAGGGGGGCCAAAGGTACGGAGGGAAAACAGAAAGCATGAAGGCGAAGGCCAGGTGCCGGGTTGCTCCAAGGTCTGTCGCGGGGACAGGAGACTACTGGAAGATGACGGGCCCGTCTTTCGCGAAGAATTGTATAACATGATCTAGAAACTGTAGCGTACTCTGCAAAGCAAAAATATACCAGGCTAAAGTCAGATTTTTCGAACGATCCGAGGCTGTCGAGGTTTTAATTTTCATTCCTTTTGTATAGAAGCATGACGTATGTCACCACATAAATGAACCTCTGAACTGCATGGCGAACGTTCAAGTCCGCAGTGCACGTGTATGCACCCCGGTAAACTTGCCAAAGTGTGGTGTGAAATTGACGGCAGGGATACCGGAGCAGGACCCAGCGCTTCCAAACAACGCGCTGCAGGCAAGGTGAAGGAAGCAGGTCGTTATCCCAATTCCTCAAGTTGGTGCTGGACAAGGGTATCAGGCCGGGTATAGCGGATGACATGCTCTCATTTATCCACAGATGTGACGGTATGTCAATTTCCAATCAGTTTCTTTGCACTTTTGAGGGAATTCTAAATACGCTCAGGATAGGAAACGAGACCAGCATGGCGACCATGCACGTACACGAGCTTCAAGTGCCGCAAGACGTCCGTGCCACAGTGGGCCATGCACCTGACTGTTTGCAATTTGTTTGGAGAAGGGCGTCCCGGCATTCATGCTCAGTCCTTCCACCGCCAACTTGACTAACATGCAATACCATCCGCTTGGCGGGACGATGCCGCTAATTTCTCAGAATCACCGCTTTTGTTTCGAAAGTCCACATCTCTTTATATACCTCCGTGCCACAAAATGTGCCGCATAAAAGCACAACTTCCTCGTTCAGGACGATTCGAGCTGAGCTTTTCACTGCCAACATGGGATCAAAGATAAAGATCTCTGTACTACCTCGTGTGGTACTGCTCGGCCGTGGGGCGCGACAGAGAGATCATCTCTCAAGTCCAAAAACATGCCACATGCATCCAAAAGAATTATCATAGGTAATGCTTCGATAGCTTGAGCATATCTGAGGTGCCACCATCCACAGCACTGACACAAGTCACCCATGCAACTTACTTTGTCCTGTTCCAAATTTTGGCACACATCCAGCATTGAAGTTCAGCAGTTGCAGAGAGATGAGACTAGTTTTTCGAACCCTGGTCTTTGCTTCTCCGGTTTTTGTCTTTAAAGTATCCTCCTCAATAGCCGTCAGCTTAAGCTGAGAACTTGCCATGTCTTTGAGCACTCTGAGAATCACGTTGTTGGCATTTTCTGAGTTGTGCTCTCACCTAGCTCGAATGATTGTAAACGCTTTTACTTTTCGTCTTATGTTGATGCAACGATATGACGTATGCTAAGGCTTTATTTCCCCCCCTAGGATTGACTCTTTGTCCAAAAAGCAGTTGTACTCGTATCTGATCGAAGAGAGTCCTCGCAGTGGCCGTAGCCCTTCTCTCCCCTCGCTCTGTCTCATCCCCCCTCTATTTCATTTGTAGACGACCATACAGAGATGCTCCGTGGAGTGGCGTAAAGGATACACGCATGGCAAAGGAGAGAAAAGAAGGGATAGTTGGTCTGGCACAGGCGTCGAGCAGTCAAGCCCCCATCTGCTTTGGTTTTCACAAAAAGAGGAACACCCCCTCGAAGCCTCCTGGTGCTATTTCCTGTGTATTTACAGCGGAGGAAGAGGAGGAGGAAAGTAGCATCGACAACACTACGGTTGGCAAGCTGAGGTTGCACGCACTTACGATGAATGAAGCTAATCCTACTGATCGGCCCGCGTCGGGCCAAATGCTTAGCACGCACGAGAAGCGACAAGCGGATGTCAATGCGCTTCGGGAAGCCGGCAACAATAGTGCCGCAGCTGGCAACATGCGCACAGCTTTGAACATCTTTGAACAAGCGCTAGGACTCGCCCCGACCGACGCAGTGCTTTACGAGCTTAAATCCCAGTGCCACTTGTCGCTGGAAGAGTACCTGGAGGCCGTGAAGGCAGCGAGAAAGGCGGTGGAATTGGCTCCTCATTGGAACGAAGCCGCTCTCACCTTGGGCCGCGCTCTCATGTCTCTGGGAGAAGTCAGGTCGGCCGTGGAGGTATTGAGCAGGTTGCTGGGCAAGGACGGTGGAAACGAGGAAGTGCGCGAGGAGCTAATTTACGCCAATGAGGCTTTGATGGAGTTGCAGCGGCGGGAGGCGGACTTCGATTTACAGTTGCATGGTCGGGCGGGTCTGGATAAGCGAGAGCTGGAGGTCGCCCGCGCAAAGAAACACATGTTGTCGCGGGGCGCGAATGTGTCGTCGGATTGCTGGCTGGGGGGATCCGAAGGCTCAGAAGGAGAGAATGGGGACAGAGGGGAACGGGCGGGTGGGATGGGCGGTGGGACGGAGGAAATGCCAGGGAGTAATTGGTGAGGACCCGTGGTGAAACGAGCACAGAAGGGCATCCTGCTCGGCGTGGCGAGATGGACCATAGATCGGCGACAAAGGTAGGCTGTACAAAGAACGCTTATGATTGTAAACAAACGAAAAGCAACGACTCGCCGTGAGCAAGCATGTCTTGCCTTCAGAATTCACGCTTTCGTTGTACACGTGTAAGCTCTATCAAAGACATCGTCACTAGACATACATGAAGGCACATGCGGACTGCCTGCTTCCAATTGCGACGCCGATAATTCTCCCACGCAATGCACGTCTCTCCGGGACCGGGATGCTACACGCCCCCTGCGTCCCTCCTCATGCTTGTAAATCCCCACACGTACGCTCAGGACAAGCCGAAAATTTGCTTGAGCGTCTTTTTCTTGCGCTGCCTCGTGCCTTCCGACGGAGGGCCCACTGCGGAAGGCTCGGGCTGCATCAGACCCCCCGCGCTCGGGTCCAGAGGCTGGGGGGCGGGCGGGGGCAAGGTCGCGGGAGGCTCCTGAGGCAGAGCCGGTCGAGCAGGGGCAGTGGGGGCAGCAGGCGCTGCTGTCGCAGGAGATTCGACGGCGGGCGTTTCAGGCCCTGGCTCGGCACCATCCGCCTCAGGGGTCTCTGCTGCAGGGATGGCTGCTACAGGTGCAGCAGCAGGTGCGTCGTCAGCTGCCACAGGTGCAGCAGGTGTAGCAGGTGCGTCGTCAGCTGCCACAGGTGCAGCAGGTGCAGCAGGTGCGTCGTCAG